ACATGGACAATTAATTGACGGATACATGTGACCAATTTAAGTGCAGAGTATTCGTACACTTTATCATGAAAAAATTATAATTATAGTTTTGGTCTACACTAAAATAGAGGAATCCTTGGTGTATCACTACTTTATTTTTTTGCAAACAAGTGTTTATTCGCCCATGTGCTTTCTCGCTAATTCTTCTTAAGTTCTAACCACCCTTTAACTTTATTAATTGGCATTGTTAAAATGTTGAACAAAAAACAATTGTTAAAATTATAGAAAGATCATAACTTTGCAGATAAAAAGATCAATAACGAAATTGTTTTAAAATATTAATCGAAACGAAAATGTTTTAAAATATTAATCGAAACGAAAATGTATTGTCCCTTGAATGTATGGATCTTAATATCTTATATATATGCATATTTAAACTAACTATATGACCTCAAACTAATTGACCAGTCTATAACCTTCTTTAATAATTACAAGGATAGATATGATTTTTGTGGGAGAAATATATAATAATAATTGATGAGAAGCTCAAAATATGATTAGTTTATACAAGAGGTGTTTGCTCCCACCTAGCGTAATTGATCTTTTTAATTATCTGCAAAGTTGATACAATTTTTTCTGCACCTTCTTTGGGAAACATAAATTATTATACGTTTCACGACATAAAGTATTATTTCTTTGCACGATTTAAAAATTTTCAACCTACACTACATATATGCTTGCAATTATGTAATTATTCCCGCCTTTTATGTTCATCTTTACTTGTCTTATATAATGATATTATATATACCGAAAGGTGTGTGTTAGTGTGTTACAGTAGAATTTCCAAATCTGAAAAACAAAACAATACGTTTAGTTTTGATTAGGTCTTGATATTTATTTCTCATGTGGTATTCTCTTTTCTTCACATCTCATGTATGTGGTGGTAATTCGTTCGAGTAGTAAACTTGTGAAGTGCCGTAATAATCCCATTAAATTTTATTGTAATTTATTGTATCATAAAAACATGAGTAAAAAGGTTAGAATTATTTTGTTTATGTTCTTACTTTTTTTTTTGGTAAAAATTATGTTCTTACTTGTTACAAAAAAAAAAAAGTTCTTACTTGTTACAATTTTTAGCCCTCATATGGGCTCTCCAAACGTACGTCCACGAAAAAAAAAGCTGCAATGCCACTAAGTTTATTTCCACATGCTATATTTCTCATAATTGAGATTTCACATGCACTCTATACTTATATGTCGTTATATGTACTTATAATGGGAAATTATATACGTATATATAGACTACTAAATGTAAATAAGAATAGAGAATATTGGAAAAAAACAAAAGTTAAGAGGAAATTATCGTCCGTCAAAGTTC